TAAATAACCTCCAGACAAAGAAAACCCGAGGTCCAGATGGCTTCATTTCTGAATTCTACAAAACATTAAGGAAGAGTTAATCCCTATCATACTCAAATTATTTCTAAAGATTCAAAAGGCAGGAAACCTTCCAAATTCATTTCATGAGACTCCATCATCCTCATTCCCAAAACACATAAGGACATGACAAAAAAATAAAACTACAAGGGGTACCAGTCAATCCAGGCTGGAAAAACTGGGTATCCACCTGCAGAAAGATGAATCTGAACCCCTACCTCTCACCATTGACAAAAATCAAAATAAAGTGGATCAAAGATCTAAACAGAAGACCTCAAACTATAAAACTGCTCCTGGAAGATACTAGGGACACTCTAGGAGGCATTGGGGTAGGCAAAGACTTGTTAAATAAGATCCCCAAAGCACAATCGATAAACCCCAAAATAGACAAGTGGGATCACATCAGACTAAGAAGTTTCTTCATGGCAAAAGACATAGTAATTAGTGTGAATCAACAGCCCTCAGAATGGGAAAATATTTTTGTAAATTATGCAGCGGATAATGGACTGATAACCAGAATATACAAGGAACTCAAGTCGCTATTTGAAAGAAAGATGGTTAACCGTATTAAAAGATGGGAGAAGGAGTTGGAAAAAAAACACTCTCTAAAGATGACATATGAATAGCCAAAAGGCATATGAAAAAATGTTCAACATCCCTCATCATAAGGGAAATGCAGATCAAAACAACGAGATACTACCTAACCTCAGTCAGAATGTCTATGATAAAAAAGCAAAAGATGGTAAGTGTTGGTGGGGTGTGGTGAAAGGGGAACTCTTTTACACTGCTGGTGAGAATGTAAATTGGTCCAGCCAATGTGGAGAACAATTTGGAGATTCGTCAAAAGTCTACAAATAGAACTACCATATGATCCAGCAATCCCACTCCTCGGTATCTACCCAAAGGACAGAAGAATTCTTCATTGGAAAAGTGCTTGCACATCGATGTTTATTGCAGCACTATTCACGATTGCTAAGACATGGAACCAACCCAAATGCCCCTATTTGGATGAATGGATTAAAAAACTGTGGCACATATACTCTATGGAATACTATTCAGCCATAAAAAAAAAACCCTTGCTTTTGACAGAAAGTGGAAGAATATGAAAGATTTACTGCTGAGTGAAGCAAGCCAGGCTATGAAGGAGAGACATTGTATGTACCTACTTAATATATACCAAGTGTCTGCACTCTGTGACTGAAACTGATTGACCTAAGGTTGTACAAACACAAGAGATGGGGGTTAATGCCAGATGTGGTGCGTATGGAGAAGAGGGACCTAAGGAAAGACATTTGGAGGAGGGATATGGAGGCAGAGCATTGACGGAATGGGGAGGTGTGGTGTTATTGGTTGAAGATATTTCGATCAACTGGACTGTGTGTGTGTGCCCAAGATCCTGAGAGGAGAATGGAGGAGAAGGGATTGTGGCGTGGCCAACCCCCCTGGGGGGTGATTTCCTGCTTTCTGTCTTTCTGTCTCTGTCTGTCTGGCGAGCGCACATGCCCTATAGCAAAAACCTCTCCAAAAAAAGAAAAAAAAAGTCTTTTTACAAGAAAAATGAGAAATAGTGATTGTTTAAAAAAAAATAATTGGAATAATAATAATAATGATTGGGAAAATCAATGAAAAGAATTGAATGATGAAGTGGGGAGAATATCTCTGTATTAACTGACATGCATGGCATCCCCTTTTGAAAAAGCAATGTAATACACTGTAAAGTTATATGCAATCCAACATAACATAAACAAGATTATGATGATAATAAAAAATAAATGAATAAATAGAAAATATTTTTAAAGAGAAATAGAGAGAAAGGAAAAAGATATTGAAAGCTTTTATGTTTATCTACTAGGCACCAGGCTTCTCACATGATAGAGTACATTTCTGTATCCCTAAAGAAATCCTTCTTTTTTTAGTAGACAGGTACTGTTGAAGCCTGGAGAACATATTCTTAAAGCATGGTAAGTGTGTGAAATATCTCCTCAGATTTATGCCATAACCCTAGTAGGTCAGGGATGATTCTATAATAAAGTCATTATATTGCAAATTGTACCAGTGCTTCATATGAAGTCTTTGTTGTATATAATATATGTATTATATATTACTTATACACACACACACACACACACACACACACATATATAAACATGACAGCAAATAGCTCTACCCTCCAGGAACAGGTGGTAGTTTCTAGGGGAAACTGTCTTGGAGAGGGTCTTTTCTTCCCCTGAGGCGATAGACTGAATCCAGCACCCAGTCCCTTTCAGAATACACTAGAGAATTCTTCCAACTAATAACCTGCCTTGTTGGTTTATGCCTTAAAAGTCCTTCACTTCTGGCAAGTTCTAATAAGTCCCACTAGGACATCTTACCCTCCTTGGACTCCCCAAAACACTCCATGCCAGAGCTCTACACTGCATCTCCACCCCTTGGAGAGTTTTCTGGAATCAGCTGATTTCTCAAGGTCCTTACTTCCCACTTCTGCTGCATCACAAGGGACCCTAGTTACATCAAGGAAAGCTGAATTGCAGAGGTAATGCCAGGAGTTTGTTCATTGTCACATTGGTCCTGCTTCCTGACAGTTTCACCTGGACCATCTGAAGATTGGGGAATGAGGCAGTGCTAGGATTCATGAAATTCAAATAATGCCAACCATGTGGGTCTGTAATGAGATACATAGTCTCAGGGGTGTTATCTGTGGCTATCTGTGTTTCCTAATTGCATGTTCAGCTGAGGATGAAAGCAAAAGTAAAGAAAGACAATTGCTTTGTCTCTCTTTCCCAGCAGAGACTGGTTAGCTTGAGGTTTCATGACCTCTCCAATGACCCCTTGAAATTAGGTGGAGTTCATCAGAAAACGAATACTTCTTTTCTGAGGATGCTGTTAAATATTTCTATCAGGAACAGAAGTGGGGTTTCTGTGCCCTTCACAGAAACTCCCAAAATGTATGATCCCATCCTAACCTTCAGGTGCTCCCCCTTCTGAGACTCTTGAGTTCAGTTGTGTGAACTCACCAGATTATATGATTTTTCTTGGTCCTAAATTCCTCTCTGATGTGCTATAGCATCTAGTCTTTGGTTCACTGTTACTCTGTTACTGTCATGCTTTGTTTAAGTATTGAAAAGAGAATAGATGAACTCCATTAATGCTAATACACATGATATCCATTCATATTCTGTCTGTATAGTTCAGGGGGGAAATGTACATGCAGTGAACAAATTATGTAGCTGTACTTAGGAGTTAACTAGTTTTGTTTCATTGAAAGTTAAATATTTATGTGATGGAGATTGGATGAGCAAGATAACATTTAAAAAATAAATAAGAAAATTTGTATTAATTTAGATAAAATGGAATAATTTTGCTAGCCAAAGGTATTTGTCACAGAGTATATTATGGAATGATGTTATATTTTAGGAAAATTAATGTTGGTTATTTCACAAACTATGCATTTAATTATCATAAGAAAGCCACAATACATGCTAAATATTTGAAAATATACTTATTAAAATAATCCTAATATTTGTAATATGAACTCATGGATATTAAGTCTAAGTTTCATCTTTTACTAAGCATATAATTAAAGACAGTATTAGACACCCAGAATGTACTCAAAGTATATGAAAATGTTCGATTTTAATAACTCAGAGGATAAGTCCTTGAGGCAGAAAAGGAAAGAGAAAGGACCAAGCTGTTGACGTGATATTGAAAAGCAGAAAGACAAGGCAGTCAATAATACTTTTCTTTTTATTGTATTTTTATGTTTAATGTCTAAAATTTTCAAAAGATCAGAACTATCAACATTCTGCACGTGTTATTATGCTGTTTATTACATAGAAGAATTCAAAAGTATGTTCAGTTATCAAGTTTTACAGATTATTGAATAAAATATAATCACGAAAATTATACTCAGTTCTTCATGTTCTACAGTAGTTCTTATATCCAGAAAACTCACATCTTACCCACTATGTAAGCAATCAAATGAAAAAGGTTGTGGTTCTCCCTTGTTACTTACAAGCATTAGCTGCAGTTCAGCTAAGCTCTGGGTTAATGATGGTTGGCCATTTCAGGGATTCTCTTTAACCATGGCTACTTTGCGTTAGGAGAACCTGTGAGTTCATCAGACTTTGAGATGTACTTTCAGAAACACAGGGTCCATCAAGTTTGATGTTTCATTTACATATACATAAATTATATCCTTCTTAGATATTTACTTTAAAACATTATAGTTGTCTGCTTCACTCAATGACCATGTAACAATTTTCCATTTTTTTTTAATTCTGAAGTCATACATGAATAACTTAAAATGTATCACTATGCCTAAAAGTTACATTTCAAACTGGAATACATTTTACTGTGGAGCTACTTTGTTCATTTCTTCCAGCCCCTAAAATGCTGTTTGGTTTCCATTTGTTGTTTTTATTTAATAATAGGTCATATAAGTATCAAATAAATATAATAAAAACATAGATAAAAGAGACATCTATCCAAAATTTAATTATTTAGTTTGTGAATTCTTCAATTGTACTTACAAATTTTTGAAGTCCTATTTTGATACAGATCAACAGGGATGAAATTCTTCTCAATCGTGGTAGTTCATTTCCTTAGAAACATCATTTCCAAGTTCAATGGCTTGAATTTGGCATAATTGTAGTATAGACTATATTTTTAAAGAAACCAGACCTAATCTGAGGACATCAATACTTAAGTGTTTATTTATTTGTTTACATTTATTTATTTATTTGTCATTGAACAAATGTGTATTAATGACCATGGATACAAAAATGAACTTTCTTTTGTTAAGAGAAATCAAAACAAGCAGGGCTTGTTTCAGTAGTACAAGTATTCCTGTGCTGAGAAAAGATCAATGTACTAAAAACTTATGTTTTAAATTTGTCTTCTAGTGTGATTATCAAAAACTTATGGTTTGTACAGTGTTCTTTTTCCTTCATGTTTTCATCCTGAAAGAAATAAAGAAAACTTGGGAAATTCACAGTCAAATATATTCCCATGCCTTATGTGCTTACAGAACAATTTAGAAATTTTTGTTGAGCATGGAAATGTTTTAAAGTAACATAAAATCACATAAGCTCTGATCAGATACAGAAAATTTTTAATATGCTGTTTCGATTACTATTGTGTCAAGGGGATTGGATACCTTATCAGCGATGCTTATAAAAAATAAACATCTCATCTGGTCTCATAGGAAGGAGCGTGTTTCTTTCCCTGAGTCTTGCTTCAATAAGTTTACCATGGTCCAGTGTCTGATCCTCTTTTTAGTTCCAGCTCAGTTAATTTTATTCGGGAATTCCATCATGGTATCCAATGGACATTTAATAAGCCAGAATATCTAAATGTCCATTTACTTAAATCACAAAATGTGCAAAGAACCTTGTTAATGAATGCATTTCTTTCTTACAGAAATATCTGTTCAAGAAGATACATTATTACTTGTTGGTTGATGACTATGAAATCAGAACAAAAGGGGATAATCAGATCTTCCTTGCCATAGTTATAGATTACCCACCACCCAAGCCATCCATCTGCACTACAGACATAGAGCAACCATGTGACCAGGATACTGATCCAACTGGTGCTCTTTTGCATTCTAGTGAAGTTTACTAAGTATGCACTTGATAAACACTTATCCTCTGACCTGATGTCTATAATCTATATTGGTAACCGCCCTTCTTTTCCTGCAGTCTTTCTTCAAAATGGTAGCCCACATCGACTTGACTTGGTTTCAATAAATCAGTCACATCCACCTTCCCTGCTTCTCAGAGATCACATCAGCACCTGGGATGAACTTTGAAGGGTTCCCTACAGTCTTCAGTCACATGTCTCCTGATAGTGTCTTCTTTTCTATCATTAGGATGCTTACAGGACTCACCAGTTCCTTTCTCCAAATGCAGTTTTGTCTCTTATACTCAAGTTTCTCGAGGAACACCTCCTTGATACCTCCATTGGTACTGATGACAGATAAGCTAGGGACTGCCCCACACACTCCCTCACATCCTGGAAAAGCAGCTAGGACTCAAGTTATTTTCCCCTTGCCACGGCATTGACAAATATTCATGCTACAACCATGCTGAACGTCAGCATGCTTCACTGATGAAGCCGTGGCCTCAGATTCAAGGTCAAAACTCCAAATTGATCAATTTTGCCTACCACTAATTCATAACTCAAATATCTGACCACTAGTTTGTTGATGTTGCCATTGCTCATGTGACAAATAAGCTGAATTATCACTATATCAATATTTTTCCTACTACCCACTTAGAAAGTGTATAATAGTTCTTTAGCTGAGATCAGCCACTGTTTTTCAGTTTAAATTTATTGTGTAACTTATTGTGTTTTGAGTTTCAGATAAGAGAATGTTAAAAATATGAGTAGGATGAATTAATAGTGAGGTAGGCTTATTTCTTCCTTATATTCATTATAGACAATGACCTTTTTTTATTCTCTTGATTCATGGATTTTTTATTTTGATATAATCTAGAAAGGGAATTTCTATATGGATGGTACATAGGGAATATGCCTGCAATCGTTTTCACATATATGTCTGTTGGATCCTACTACACTCAGCCTCCATATCTTTAAGAGCACATGGACACACACACACACACACACACACACACACACACACGCACACACATTTACGTGGTGCACACAGTGGCCACATTTGTAAGAGTGGGTTCCCTGGTGAAACGCAAATTGCTCTAACATTTATGGCTTGTTTTGGACATATTCTTGTAGTAGGTTAATAATTCTGTGAATCATCCAGTTGACCAGTTTCTAAATTGCCAAATATTGGTTTCCATTTTCCAAGATGATGGCATACGTTTATGTGTATGTACGTACATGTAAATATATATGGCATATGAGGCAATAACATAAGTACATAATTTAAAATAACTGTGTCACAAAGCTATCTGGTTCTCTCTTTCATAGTGAAATGAAAGAAAATCAGACAGTCGTGACAGAATTCATCCTACTGGGATTTCCCCTCGGCCCGAGGATTCAAATGGTTCTCTTTGGCCTCTTCTCCCTGCTCTATGCCTCCACTCTGCTGGGGAACGGGGTCATTCTGGGGCTCATCTTGCTGGACCCCAGACTGCACACCCCCATGTACCTCTTCCTTTCACACTTGGCCTTCGTAGACATCGCCTACACCTGCAGCACAGTGCCCCAGGTGCTGGTGAATCTCCTGAATCCAGCCAAGCCCATCTCCTACGCTGGCTGCATGACACAGACCTTTTTCTTTTTGACTTTTGCACACACCGAATGTCTTCTCTTGGTGGTGATGTCCTACGACCGGTATGTGGCCATCTGCCACCCCCTCCGATATTCCGTCATCATGAGCTGGAGAGTGCAGAAGGTCCTAGCTATTGCTTCCTGGGCATGTGGCTCCCTGCTAGCCCTGGTGCATGTGGGTCTCCTTCTGAAACTGCCTTTCTGCGGGCCTCATGAAATCAACCACTTCTTCTGCGAACTCCTGTCTGTACTCAAGCTGGCCTGTGCTGACATCTGGCTCAATCAGGCTGTCATCCTTGCAGCTGCTGTGTTTATCTTGGTGGGGCCCCTGTGCCTGGTGCTGGTCTCCTACTCACGCATCCTAGCTGCCATCCTGAGGATCCAGTCTCAGGAGGGCCGCAGGAAGGCCTTCTCCACCTGCTCCTCCCACCTCTGTGTGGTGGGACTGTTCTTTGGCAGTGCCATCGTCACATACATGGCCCCCAAATCCCACCATCCTGAGGAGCAGCAGAAGATCCTTTTTCTATTTTATAGTTTTTTCAACCCTCTGCTGAATCCTTTGATTTATAGTTTGAGGAATGCAGAAGTCAAGGGTGCTCTGAGGAGGTTGCTGTGCAAGGAAAGTTCATCCCAGTTGGTATGACATTCTGGTAGGTGCCTGGAATCTTCAACTCTTCGCCCAATTACAAGCTAAATCCAGAGTTTGCCATCACTCCTTAACCAGTCCTTAATGGTCTGTTGTTTTAGCAGCAACAGTGGATGTTGCATAGCATACAGTAATCGTTTAACAGCCACTGGTCTCAGAAATTCATGCGACTTCATCAGGTGACACAATTGATCACTGCGACATAGTTGTCAATGTTAACCTATGTTCCAAACTACACATGTAAAAATATTTTAATTTGCAGAACAAGAAAAGTACAAAATAATTGTCACTTAATATTAATGTAACACTTGCTGTGTACCAGAAAATGTTAAATTATTTTGAGGTAATATTCATATCAACACAGTAAAATACTAATAATATCCTCATTTATGAAATCAACATTCTCTATGATTAGAGAATTAATTCACTTACTCTATGCCACAAAAATATTGAGTAGTGAAATCAGAATTCTGGTCCACGCAATCTGATCCATATTAACTGTGAACCATCCTTTTGAAAATGACCTAGTGATAATTTGTCTCTTCAATGGCTAAAGCAGGTGTGTTTCAGTAGTCATTCTATAAATGTTAACTAAGTAAATGAAAGATCATTTAGCCCATACTATTATCTAAAAATAAAAATAAAGTAAGTACCTCCATAAAATATGTATCTTAAATATGGCAGCCATTAGATATCTTGTTCCTCATTATTTGCCTTTAGTTCTAAATATACTTAGTTCATGTAAAATTTCTTCCGGGGTGAATGCTAATAATTAACTAAGTGTTAGGTACCACTGGCCACCAAGAAAATACAAATTTGAATATATTAGAAGAAACTATTTAGTGTTCCATATTTTTAAAAATTGAGATGTATATTATTTTCTTTATTATTATTATTATTCATACATTAAATCTTTTTATGTCATTTAGATTGTGAAGAGACATTAGCCAGCATGATATACACCTCGGTCCAGCCCAGTTAAAACTATTATACACATCTCATCAACAGATAACAAACCTTATCTGTGTCCCACAAGTGTCTTACCTCTCCATTCCCCCCCCCAAATTTCCTTGCCTATGCTCTTCCCCTCCCACACTCTCTTTCCACTTTGTCTCTAATGTACATTACAATTTTTAATACTTTTATGTTCTCCAGTCTTTCAGTCTCTACCATAGAGTGCGGACAGTGGTATATGTTAAGAGGGGACATACAATGTCTCTCTTTCACAGCCTGACTTGCTTTATTCAGCATAGAACAGAGGTTATGAATTTTTTTAAGAGAATTTTTGCCTTTGGGCAGGTGCGCTGGCCAGAGAAAGAGAGACGGAAATAGTGAGAACCAACGTGAGAAATCAACCCCCAGGGGGATACCCACACATAAATCTGTTTTCTCCCATGCTCCTCCCATGATCTTGGGCACACATGCACATGTACCTGGCATGAGTTTTAAGCCACCGAGTCAGGGACATGACCTCAGTTGGCTATGCCAGAGACATAACTGCTATGCCATAATCTGGTTCAGGTTATGAATCTATTATGTTTTTTTTTTTTAAGAGGCTTTTGCCTTAGGGCATGTGCACTAACCAGAGAGAGAGAGAAACAAAGACAGTGAGAGGGAAAGTGAGAAATTACCCCCCCAGGGAGATGATAGGCCACAATCCCTACTACTCCATTCTCACCTCAGGATTTTGAAAGTCACCCAGCATGACTTTCAAGCCACTGGATCAAGTAGTAAAGTAACTACTACACCATCTGCTGGCCCCAGTTATGAATCTTTTAAAAGGAGTATACCAAAGGGCTGAATTCCTGGTCGTGGTATGCCATAAAGGTGCTTGTGCCAAAAGAGTATTCAAGTAGTGAGTATTCCACTTCTACACCTTGCAAGAGAGAGGAGATTCTGGAAGCTGTGACTACTGAAAATGATAGGGATGGGACTCTGGGTGGGAGTCAGTTCATGCACCCTCTGAAGATGTCCCCTGCAGTGTGTTTGGCCTGTGAAAGGCCGGACTTGTAGGATGTGTGTTCACTCTTCCCTAAGGAGTGGAGACCAATGTTCTCAGATGTTTCTGTGCATACAGATCATTGGAGACCTCGCAAAATACAGGTTCTGATTCAGCAGATCTGCGGGAGATGAGCAGAGCCGTGCATTTTTTTTTTTGAGAGGTTTTCGCTATAGGGCGCGTGCACTCACCAGACAGACAGAGAGAGACATAGAAACAGAAAGCGAGAAATCACCCCCCAAAGGGGATGGTCACACCACAATCCCTTCTCCTCCATTCTCCTCTCCTCTCCCGATTTTTTTTTTTTTTACAGAGAGAAACAGAGAGACAGAAAGAGAGAAATCATCCCCCAGGGGGGATGGTCACCCTGCAATCCCCTCTCCTCCATTCTCCTCTCGGGATCTTGGGCACACACGCACACGCGCCCGGTGTGAGTTTTAAGCCACCTGGTCTGGGACGCAAACCACGGTCGACTATGTGAGAATCCAGCGACATAGCCATTATGCTAACTGCTGGTTCCTGAGAGCCGTGCATTTCTAACCACCTCTCATTTCTTGCTGATGCTGCTGACCTACAGACCACACTTCGAATATTAATGATGTGGAGAAACACTGTTAAATCGATGGCTCATGGGGAAAATGGAGAAAATTGAAGAAGAGTTAGAACGAGACCTCATAGGACTTCTCAGCTCTGATGTTCTCCTGGGTTTCAGGGAAGACTCCATGTTCCTTTACTTTTTTATGAACTTTGACTAGAGCACAGGCTCCATTTAATTTGTTTTTTTCATTTTTTTTGTGGGTGTTTTGTTTTGCTTTGCTTTGGGTTTAGCCTGTCTCTGCTTGTTTGTTTTTAATTTTTATAATCCTATGGGGTCAAGAGAAGAGGAACATAATTGGACACCGTGTGGTTTTATCCTCAGAAAGCTGACTCAGAGCCAGGATGTCTGGATTCTATGAGAGATTTAAAAAACAAACAAACAAAGGTGGTTTTCCTCCTTTACACTCAACACTTCACTTCTAATTCCAGATGGATGAGTTTTTTTCCTATACAACAAGCAATTCTCCAGAGGACAGCTGCCATATGACCTAAAATTTAATTCCATTCTACACTATATGGAGAGCGCATCAGATCCTACAGGTTAAGGTTTCAGTCTCACAAGATTCCCCCACCAGTCTCACAAGATTCGCCCACTTGAGACACCAGTAGTGAGCTCCAGGTAGACCTGTGTTTCTGACCCTCTGTCTGTATCAGAATTCCCACACCCACCCTCCTTGGGTTCAATTAATTCATTAAAGCAGCTTACAGAATCAGGAAAATGTTCTACTTGTGTTTACTATTTATTATAAAAGTTACTACAAGGGTGACAGATGAACATTCGGAGAGAAGAAATATATGGGATGAGGTGTGGAAAAGGGGGCTCTGAGCTCTGATTCCATTTAAATGTATGAGGGCTGGAAGTGCAGTCCCAGCTGGCGGCTTCATCCAGGCACGTACGTGAGGAAGAGGAGCCCAAGACACCCTCGCAGCAGAACAAATAAACCCCAAAAGAAAGTCTTGAGCAACTTCTCCATTTGTTTCCCTGTTTCTAAGGATTCCAAGTAAACTTCTGCTATTTTTACTCATAATTGCTCTGGAAATACAATTGAGAATGTCAAACAACCTTAAAACTTCAGCAAACTCTTTCAGAATGTAAACGTCAACAAGTACATCTCAAAATTATCCATATTCGATGAAAGTTAAACTGAAATAGCTTTAATTTTGACAGTGTTTACTATTTTTGTTGACTCAAAAGTGTGCTCATAACCAATATTCCTAAGGCGTGGAATATATAGAAATGTATTCTCTAAAAACATTCTTTGCACAGATTTTCAGTTTGCTAATTGTTCCTGAAAGGCAGACCCCTGATTTTGACATATGGGCATATAATGGAAGCACTAGTGAATATTCACTTCACGTAAGATCTGACTGTTATCTCCGTGCTACTTCCCTTTTATGTTTTGTTTATACAATACATACATGTTTATGTTTTGTGTATGTTTGTTTCACTCTTACAAGTTTTAGAAGCAAAAGGTGCTTGAACCTGATATGTTCATAGAAAACACATATTTTAAGATAATGCATTTAATTAAATGTAGTTTCTTTGGCATCATAAAACATCAGAGTTAACTTGTTTTAGTTCAAACATTCCATTCTTCCTACCCCAAAAAACTTTTTTATAGCTGAGGTGTATACAGTGAGAAATACAGGAAAAAACATGTTCTACAAGTATTGTTTTCATGAGATTTCACATGACTTTTGCCATTCAACTCAACTGTAGTTCACCTGGATGAAAAAGAAAGAAAAAGAGAGAGAAAGAAAAAGAAAGAAAAGAAAGAAAGAAAGAAGAAAGAAAGAAAGAAAGAAAAAGAGAGAGAAAGAAAGAAAGAAAGAAAGAGAAAGAGAAAGAAAGAAGAAAAAGAAAGAAAGAAAGAAAGAGAGAGAGAGAGAGAGAGAGAGAGGGAAAGAAAGGAAGAGAGAAAGAAAAAAAGGAAGAAGAGAAAGAGAGAAAGAGAAGACAAAAAGGAAAAGAAAGAAAGAAAGAAAGAAAGAAAGAAAGAAAGAAAGAAAGAAAGAAAGAAAGAAAGAAAGA